TCCCCGCCTCGTTCGTTCCTGTTGGCCACGATTTTCTTCTCGTTTCCCTTTTGATTGATTTGTTCCCCGCCCGTCGCTTATGTTGCGTAAGTGCAACTTTAAGAGGGGGGTGATGTAGTGGGCCACGCCATTACATAAGTAGGTAGATTTATATTACAAAAGTAGGTGCAGCAGCACACGGCTAGCGTGTGCTGAGCTGCCGTCATCCTATTGGTTGATATATGGGGAGCCAGACCCATTATCAGCCAATAAGGGTTTGACGTGTATTTGAGTGGTCAGGGCAAGCTGCCCTGGACCTAAATAAAAACAGAGTTGATTTTCCTTCAGACTAAGCACTTGGTTTCACTATCGCGGAACTTGCACGCTTCCTCATTATTACGTGTAAGCTAGTAACGGACACTCTAGGTTCGTTACACCTCCGCGTTCTCCCGAGCCATGATTTCAGGTGCCACCGAGCGTACGGCGGCAGCAGCCTCGGTCTGAACAACCCGCAACTGACGCTCCAGGCTGATAACTCGGTCGGGCAATGCCGACAGCGCATCGGGAAGAGGCTGTACGGCGGCGAGGACTTCGTCAAAGCCCATGGCAGTCTCGAGGCGACGTTGAGTGTGGACATCGCCGTGAAGAGGAGGCGCAACGTTGAGCTGCACTTGGTGACGAGCCATCGCAGTCAAGTACGGAATAGTCGAGGTCTTCATATAACCCACCGACGCTTCCGTACTATCAGCTAGTATGGCGCGCAACGAATCCTCGGTGAGTGGTGGAGGACCACCAGCACGCGCAGGCGGATCAGCAAGAGCCATCACTGTGGATCCAGCGACGACAGGAAGTGCCGCATGAGCTGCAGCAGGAGGTGAAGAGTTCGGGGCAGGAAGCGCCGGAGGTCCAGCTGACGACGTTGCCGTTGAAGGATGTGTAGCAGGCTGAGGGTCGTTCGAAACCTCGGTGTCGCCCTCCTGAGAAACAAGACGAGTAATGCATGGTGATGCGCAAGGTGCCGATGATTCAAGAGGAAGATGAGTTGACTTACCGTCAGCTGCTCACGTTCGCGACGTCTACGAGGATTGAGACGCTGAAAAGCGTCGGACACGGCTCGATTCAGACGCTTGGACATACGGTGGCGAGATGGTGAATTGAAGAATGAAGAAATGTCACAACGGGCACCAGTACCGTGGCTTCCATTGCGACAGGGGCAGTTGTGGTGTAGTGATTTCTCCGTAGTTGCGGATTATCACCCGTCGACAAAGACGTGGCACCGCCCAAGATGTTCAAGCGACGAACCCTAGGTCACGTGATGTACGGTGACTCCAAGGTGCAAGAGACTCGACGGCGTCGCTACCAAACTCTCAACGGATATTGGATACGGTCCAGATGTCACAGTATCCAGGCTGTCCTTATTATTAATAATGGACTGGCCGGATTCGCATTCAGAGGCCAAGAACTGACCAGCTACGGTACGAACCCTCGGTGGCGGTTTGGATGAATTCGCGGAAGACTCAGCGACCCTTGGAAGACACGTACACCGTCTGGGACAGGGCGCGAGCCGTTAAAGATACTCATGCGACGGTGCAGACGACGCTTGGCGTGCAAGAAGATCCATAAACGGATCATTGTTCACTTGATATTCGTATACTTTATTAGGACTTCTTCTTAGGAATAGACCCGAAAGGGTAAACATTAATACAGAGCAGAATTTCCACTCAAGCACACAGAGCGACGTCCGACTTCAAGGTAAGCGTCTGGTCAAGCTTGTTTGAGTGTGTTATGCCTGTCGATGAGTTCGAAGCTCTGTAGCGATGGTTCATCCGGCAAGGCCAAGAGACTTTGTGTATTGGCCGATTACTATCGGGAGGTTTTTACGTGACGGCTTATTGTTGCCTATTTGCACGACTGGGGGTTCTTGTATTGCATCCCTTTTATTCTTCCAACCGATTGTTGAACACTCGGTCCCCTTGTAAAAGGTTTATCCGTGCCTGGTACCCTTCCGCTGTTGGGACCACGAGGATTCATAACACCTATTTTTGCTCGTGCTAGTAGCGTGTTCTTATTTTTACTGGTTGGCCTATATAAGTAGTTTACAAGGTTCAGTCTGTCCCGGTGCAAGGGCAGAACTGGGGTCTTCAGGACCGCCCGAACGATCATTTACTATCCTTGTAGACGTATTGTTGTGGGAACGTCCTAGCTACATCTGTAGCTAGAGTTCACGTGGGAATTCCAACACAACAGAAACATCCAGGGGATGTCGCCTCCCGCGTGTACACCCAACGCTTAGCACGACCGCTAAGGTTGGAGAGTGCAAAAGCAACACGGAGTTGCTCGGTCGAGATCAGAGCCGCGTCCATCGCGAGCTCTACCTCTCGAACCCAGAAGCGAAGGTTCTCACCATCCTTCCTTTCATACGGCTTAACCTTCAACTGTATTGGCTTCCGGTGTGGCGGGTTTGTTTCCGCCGCCGGAGCCTGCAAGTTTCCCCGCACATGTGCGATGAGCCCCTGCTCGTAAGCGTCAAACGCATTGACACGCTCGAGCTGCTCGGCTGGTGTTGACGCCACCAGGCTCTGCAGGGCCTCCATCCCGAAGATGCCAGCCATATTCCGAACCGACTCGAACTGTGAGTCGTTCAGATGGGAGAAGTCGTTCCTATCCATGGCAACGAATTTTAGAGAGGTTCAGGTAGTCTACCCGCGTTGGAGTGGATTGGCTACGAGTGCTACCAAGTGTGACGGGGTCACACAGCACCTTGCGCTAGAGGAAATTGGCTTCCGAGAGTATACAAACTCTCAGTGACCGGTGTGGTGAAGTGCTCTCTCAGCAATAAGAGAATGGACCTAACGCGGGGTCACTATCCCGAATCAGTGACAATTTCAAGTGACTAGAGAGGATTCGGATCGTCCGGCGCGGATGCAAGTTGCCTGAGGTGGATTAGCCATGACGAGCGGCACCCCGTACGAAACGACGATGGATCTGGTATGAGTGATGGACGGGAAGGCAAGATCCACCAAGACCTATCTCGGATCCACCCTTACCTGGATTCACTTAGGTGGATATGGGATATACTATATACGGGTGGATCGAGTGTGGATCCTATGAAGGAATGATGGTAGGTGTCATCTGAAGGTGGATCTAGTATCCACGACTAATGAGAAGTCAAGATCCACCGCGAGGTGTCCCGGATCCCATTTCCGAGTTCGGATCCCAGGAGGTGAGGATCCCGCACAGAGGGACCTGGATCCAGGATACAGGGATGGTGGATGCAGTGGATCTCGAACTTTCGTGGGACAATGGAGATCACAGACGGTTGCAAGATAGTGTTGGATGATTGGAGAGCTCAGATCCATGGCGAGTGTACCCTTACAGTGAAGTGGATCCAAGCGGCCTGGATTCGGATGAGTGTACCCATAATATGGTGAACATATTGATTACGCCATGGATCCGGTGGATCTGAAGATAATACAGCTGGGATGATGGGTCAAGGAAAGAAAGGACATGCAGCCGAGCCTGGTAAGGGATTTAACGAGTAAAAGACATAGAAGGTAGAAATCCAGGCAGGTATAGGTTTAAGTATCAATTCAGTCTTCAATTTGCATAGTAACGCGCAAGTGCCTTCCTGCCCTCAAGAATCGGAGCTACATTGGCCGTGCGAGCTAGGAGAAGGTTCGGAATTGCGAATCTAGTGTTGATAATGATAACTGGATAATACATTGACCGGATCCTACAGCCTAGTGAGCTTTTCCTACACACGTGCAGATCCGACAGGCTAACCGAATTTACTACTTGGTCGGTTACACCCTAGAAGGTCTCAACTCTCAAGATCCCGTCACAGGAGGCGGCAAGTACGACGCAAAGACAACGCAAAGGCAAGGGAATACACCCGCAAGGCAACCCTACGCCAGATCCCAGATCTAGGCTCTGGATCCACTTAAGCTCGAATATTCGCTTAGGATCCAGAACCAACCACGGACGCAGAGTGAAGATCTTACCACTACTGCTCCACCCCTTCCCCACGTCCCGCCAAGACACTCAAGCTTCACCACTTGAACTCTTCGGAAGTTACCGAGAGAGCAAGATCCCGCCCGTACACAAGGTGAGGAAAGTTCAGCAGAACACGGATCATCGGGGGACCCCCTCCGTTAGTCGGTGTCTGGGCGCAGTTGGTAAGTTGGATCCAGCAATCTCGCAGATTTTGCTGATCCCGCTACACCACACCGGCAGCTCATAGGCCCCCTTTACCTAAGGGAGCGAAGTGACCAATTTAAGGCAGGTTGTAAACTGAGTATATTTATAGGTAGGCTAAGCTTGAGTTAAATATACAAACTATAAATCACCGATATAAAAGCTATGTCATCAGCCAATGGTTGGCCTCGGACGACCCTTGTACCATGTACCAGATATCCCGAAGTATGACACGTCACACTTCATGTAACTAAGGGTACACTTAGGGCTACGAGCCCCGTTACAGAACCTGTCAATGGTTCTTGCTGAAAAGTCGCGGTTCTTGTCCTTTCGCATTTGAAACTCCGAACCCAAAAATTCTAAGAACCCAGTTCCTGATTCTTAGGGGCTCTGAGTAATTATGAGAACCATGGTTCTGGTTCGTTTTTTTAGGCTGGGATAAACCTGTTTAATACCTATTGGCTAGCACATGTGACAGCCGCCCGACAAGAGGTGTTCGTGATTAGTCTAGAATTTGACGAAGCTGTGCTCATATGACTATTCCAGGTGTTGAACCTGGAATATCCCTGTTTTGGTAAGATAAACATATATTTCAAAACAAAAAAAATCAGCAATATTCTAATCATCCCTGGCCGCATCTCTGGACACTGGTAATATAATTTAGAGTCGTCCATTATTTTAGGGCCGCTCAAACAAACCTATCATATTGCGTACCCCCATTGTTTATTCCCTTCCATGAGAAGTAGTTGTGTGGAGGTGGCATATCTTCATCCAACAGGGAGCAGAGCTCTTCCTCTCTTAATTCACTCGAAGCCCAACCCAGAGCCATGCAGCAGGCCGTATTGAACCCGGAGTCGCAGGTGGAGAAGGGCGAGAATGCCCGCATGTCTTCGTTCGTTGGCGCCATCGCCATCGCCGACATGGTTAAAACGACGCTGGGGCCCAAGGGCATGGACAAGATCCTGCAGTCCGTGGGCGGCCCCGACAAGAGTATCTCGGTCACTAACGATGGCGCCACTATTTTGCGCAGTGTCTACGTGGACAATGCGGCCGCCAAAGTCCTCGTGGATATCGCGAAGACGCAGGACGAGGAGGTGGGCGACGGTACCACGAGCGTCGCTGTGCTGTGCGGTGAGCTGCTGCGCGAGGCCGAGAAGCTAATCGACCAGCGTATTCACCCACAGACCATCATTGATGGCTGGCGCATCGCTCTCACTACGGCTAACGACGTGCTTGTGGCCTCAGCCAAGGACAATTCACAGGACGCCGACAAGTTCCGTGAGGACCTCATGAACATCGCACGCACGACGCTCAGTTCCAAGCTGCTGACATACGAGAAGGATCACTTCGCCAAGCTCGCTGTCGACGCCGTGCTCCGTTTGCGTGGCTCCAGCAATCTAGACTACATTCAGATCATTAAGAAGGCCGGTGGCTCCCTCCGTGACTCGTACCTGGACGAGGGCTTCATTCTGGACAAGAAGATCGGCGTGGGTCAACCTAAGCGCGTCGAAAACGCTAAGATTCTCGTAGCCAACACGGGTATGGACACGGACAAGATCAAGATCTACGGCGCTCGCGTTAAGGTGGATTCAATGGACAAAGTTTCGGCCATCGAGGACGCCGAGAAGGCCAAGATGAAGGCCAAGGTCGAGAAGATCGCCAACTTTGGCATCAACTGCTTCGTTAACCGCCAACTCATCTATAATTACCCCGAGCAGATTTTTTCCGAGAAGGGCATCATGGCCATTGAACACGCTGATTTCGACGGCATTGAGCACCTGGCTGCGGTCACGGGTGGCGAGATCGCGTCCACCTTCGACAACCCAGACGCCGTTCAGCTCGGGGAGTGTAAGTTGATCGAGGAGATCATCATTGGCGAGGACCGCATGCTGCGATTCTCAGGAGTCAAGACCGGCTCTGCCTGCTCTGTCGTGTTGCGTGGCGCCAGCTCGCACCTGCTGGACGAAGCGGAGCGGTCGCTACACGACGCACTAGCTGTGCTAACACAGACGGTTAAGCACTCGCAGACAGTTATGGGCGGCGGTTGTACGGAGGTGCTAATGGCTCAGGCCATCGACAATAAGGCGCCGTCTGTGCCTGGCAAGAAGGCGTTGGCCATGGAGGCGTTTGCCCGTGCTCTGCGGCAGCTGCCGAGTATCATCGCTGACAACGGCGGTTTCGACAGTTCCGAGCTGGTGACCCAGCTGCGTGCGGCACACCACCGCGGCGAGACGACGGCTGGACTGGACATGCGCATTGGCTGCGTTGGTGACATGGAGGCTCTGGGCATTCGCGAAGCTATGAAGAGCAAGAAGCAGGTGCTCTTCTCGGCTGCTGAAGCTGCCGAGATGATCCTCAGAGTAGACGACATTATTAAGTGCGCACCGCGCCAGCGTCAGGGACAGTAAGCGGCCGAAGTGCATTTAAGACGGCGAGTAGCGTTGCGGAATAGTTAGCATTGGTGGCGACAGCTTAGCGTGTGCGCTAATGAACAAGACGGCTATTACTAGAGGCGTTGCTTTGGCCTGGGAGGACAGCTGATTATTAAATAATAATCAGCTGTCCGTATTTTTTTGTTCATTTTGTTTTGCGAGAGACCACGCAAAACAAAATGATACTTACTGTAGTACGAACCTAAGTACGAATCGCGATTTAATCACTCTAACCAAAAGCGGGGCGTCTCCTCTATCTCTTGAGCCCTTATAAGCTACAGAATGCTTAACACTGAAGAAGTTGTGGTCGCTCAAAAATATTATCTCCATTTATATGGGCCCTCGAAATGACGATACATTTAGGAGTGTATGTGAGCTCAATATTTTTCAATTTTAAAAATTCAAGTGTTATTTAAAAGCCCTTGTTAAAAAGCAATTGAATAAGGGTAGTTTTACTTGTCGATGGAAATTTACGATAAATGTCACAGTTCTGGTTAAGTGCGAAAATCAATTGGCCAACTTTTAGCTCGATTATCTGGATAACTCCAAATGGTTCGTTACTATCATTTTGTTTTGCGTGGTGTTTTGAGTTTTAGAAATATAATACCGGTAAGTTTCACTGTTGGAAAGTAATTTTGACCGGCCAATCATATTAAATCTTCACGTCATAAATTTGAAATTGAAGGCATTCAATTTCTCCGTTCGTTTAACTAACGCCTGCAGAGGCGACGCAGTCCCCGGAGTCGACTCGGTGCTGTAGACCGCACCACAAGTCGCTTAAGAAGGAGAGCAAGTGTGGTGTTGGAATTCCCACGTGAACTCTAGCTACAAATGTAGTTAGGATGTTCCCACAACAATACGTCTACTAGGATAGTAAACGATCGTTCGGGCGGACCTGAAGACCCCAGTTCTGCCCTTGCACCGGGACAAACTGGACCTTGTAAACTACTTATATAGGCCAACCAGTTAAAATAAGAACACGCTACTAGCACGAGCAAAGCTAGCAGGTGTTTTGAATCCTCGTGGTCCCAACAGCGGAAGGGTACCAGGCACGGGTAAGCCTTTTACGAGATCACCAAGTGTTCAACGCTCGGCTGGAAGAAATAAAAGGGAGGCAATTAAAGCACTTCCAGTCGTGCAAATAGGCAACAATAAGCCGTCACGTAAAACCTCCCGATAATAATCGGCCAATACACAAAGTCTCTTGGCCTTGCCGGATGAACCCTCGCTACAGAGCTTCGAGTTCACCGACAGGCATAACACACTCAAACAAGCTTGACCTGACGCTTACCTTGAAGCCGGACGTCGCTCTGTGTGCTTGAGTGGAAATTCTGTTCTGTATTTAAGCTTACCCTTTCGGGTCTATTCCTAATAAGAAGTCCTAATCAAGTATACAAATATCAAGTGAACAATGATCCGTTATGGATCTTCTTACATGCCAAGCATCGTCTGCACCGTCGCATGAGCATCTTTAACGGTCCGCGCCCTGTCCCAGACGGTGAAAGTGCCTTCCAAGGGTCGCTGAGGCTTCCGCGAACTCATCCCAACCGCCACTGAGGGTTCGTACCGTAGATGGTCCGCTGAATGCGAATCCGGCCAGTCCATTATTAATAATAAGGACAGCCTGGATTCAGTGACATATGCCCGTATCCAATACTCGTTGAACGTTCGGAGGTGACGCCGTCGAGTCCCTGGCACCTTGGCGTCTCCGTACATCACCTGACCGAGGGTTCGTCGCTTGAACAACTTGGGCGGTGTCACGTCTTTGTCGACGGGTGATAATCCGCAACTACGGAGAAATCACTACACCACAACTGCCAATGTCACAATGGAAGCCACGGTACTGGTGCCCGTTGTGACATTTCTTCATTCTTCAATTCACCATCTCGCCACCGTATGTCCAAGCGTCTGAATCGAGCCGTGTCCGACGCTTTTCAGCGTCTCAATCCTCGTAGACGTCGCGAACGTGAGCAGCTGGAGGTACGTAAGCCCATCCTTCTCCTGAATCATCGGTACCTTGCTCATCACCTCGTGTCACTCGACTTATTTCTCAGGAGGGCAAGACCGAGGGTTCGAACGCCCCTCAGTCTGCTGCACTTCCTTCGACAGCAGCGTCATCAACCGACACTCCGGCGCCCGCTGCCCCGGACTCTTCACTCCCTGTGGTAGCTCCTGCAGCACTCCCCGTCGTCGCTGAATCCGCGGAGATGGCTCCTGCTGCTCCTCCTGCGCCAGCTGGTGGTCCGCCACCACTCACCGAAGATTCGCTGTGCGCCCTGCTGGCTGAAAGTACGGAGGCATCGGTCGATCACATGATGACCTCGATAATCCCGTACTTGACTGCAATGGCTCGTCACCAAGTGCAGCTAAGCGTTGCGCCTCCTCTCCACGGCGATATACACACTCAGCGTCGCCTCGAGACTGCCGTTGGTTTCGATGATGTCCTCGCTGCGATATAGCCTGTTCCTGACGCGCTGTCGGCATTACCCGAACGAGTTGCCGACTTGGAGCGTCAGTTGCGGTTTGCTCAGTCCGAGGCTGCTGCCGCCGTACGCTCGGTGGCACCCCACATCATGGCTCGTGAGAACGCGGAGACATTCCTCAAGGCTGCCAACGCTGAGATTGAAGCCTTACATCACAACGTCAAGATTCTCCGCGAATCGAACGCCAAGAACGACGCCATGCTCGCAAGTGCTCAAGCCACTATGGAGCGACACGCAGAGGATTTGAATCGTCTTCACTGCGAGGTCCAAGCTCGGGACGTCTTCATCAGCACTTTGCAAAAGAAGCTGGCTCGCGAACGCGAGGTGTACAAGACTTCTATTGGAGCGAATACCGAGCAGACTCGGAAGCTTCACCTCCTTCTGGTAAAGCTTGCCCAAGGCAAGTACGCTGATAACGACACGCTCAAGGTCCTCGAGAACCAGCAAGACCGTAACACTCGCCTCCTCCAAGCGAATCGTACCCTCCGTGCACACGTGAGTCTGGCAGGGATGGATCCCGAGGTACTTCGTCTGGCTGTTGAAGGTACGCTCTTAATGTCGCTCCTTCCACCGTGTGTTCAGCAACTAACGTTCGTTCACAATCCATCGTGATAGGTCTGACTGCGGGTGAGCTGGACCTGGACGCGCTGGACTTGGATCAGGAGACGTTAGTCGCTTTGCGTCGCATTCAGTCTGCCACCGCGTCTTCGGACGATCCTCAAGCCCTTCCTGCGGCTTTGGCCAAGGCTGCTCACCAAGTGGCCCATGGGAAATCCCATAAGCGTCTTAGACCAGGTGGCGAGGATTCGGACGACGAGTCGGAAGACTCTGACGAAGACAAGGCTCCAATCCCAACGGACAAGGTCAGTACTTCGATGGCAGCTGCTGGTCTCGGTGATGCGCCAATGCCGATACTTCAACGCCCAAGTCGGCTCGTCGATCGCTGTTCGGTCCGAAGGCGCGGAAGAAGGCGGCCCAGAAGAAGCGCAAGAAATCTCGTCCTCATTCTCCTGCTAAGTCGCCCCGACGTCATATGAAGACTCGGTCCCAGTCTGTACCGTCTTCTCCAAGCTCATGGACGCCACCTCCTACGTCAACGTCTTCTTCTACTCCCACCGTGGTCGACCTCAGTGGCGACCGAAGTGACGTGGACATGGGGACTGCTGATCCAAGTAGCGTCCCTTCGGTTCAAGAAACTGCTACAGAGCCTTCGGGTAAGGATGTGAACCCTGGGGATCACGACGATGTTCCCGGTTCTCCTGACGCGCCTTCGCCCCCGCCTCAGGGTCCACACGATGTGGCCAAGCCACCAGCTTCCACGCCTTCACCTTCTCCAGCCGACATACGTGCTGCTGAAGAAGCTCTGCGCGAGGCCGAGCAAATGCGGCTCATGTTTGGCTCAAGTGACGAAGGGGAAGAGTCGGACCAAACTATCCCCCAAGGCAAGTCTGCTTCGGCGTCTGTCACGACGTCCAAGGCAGTTGAAGTCTCGGGAGTGGTTTCTACAGCAGGGTCTGCCCCTGTTGAAGCTGCTCCACTAGCTTCCGTGTCTTCGAAGTCGGCTCCGACTGTTCCCACGGCTGATGTACCAAGCGTGTCTTCGCCCGACGTTTCGATGGAGATTGATGACGATGGACATGATGATGACGATCGTGGAGATGACGTAGATGACAATGAACCTTCGGTGGATTACTCTCCTGATGCTCCCAGTGGTGGCGGTGATGTTCCGCCCTCCACCGATCATTCAAGCATACTCGATGACGAAGATGTTGAAGATTAAAATAGGAACTGGAGTAATCTTGGCCCAGCTCGTCCTCCGACTCCACCTCGGCCAAATCCTTCGCCGATGATGACTTCCCCAATTATCGTTGCCGGTCCGCCTCTTTCGCCACCAGCAAGTTCCCCGGCACCAGCAAGTCCCCCGGCACCAGCATCTTCTCCTCCTGTTCCAGTGTCTCCTCGTCCGCCTATTTGGACTCTCGATGCTGGACATGGACGCATGATTACGGCAACTTACACTTCGGTGCCGCGTCGTGGTGGTGTACCGTCGGTTGAACCGTTGCCTCACCGAGTGTTATCTGGTACTCGCCCTACGGTGCCGGCTTCGTCCACCCTGCCATCGTGGGTTCTTCCGTATGTGGACATGGAGTTTACCGACGCAGGCGCCAAGAAGTGTTTCGAGCGACTCTTGAGCTTAGCGCTTCCCGAACCAGCTGGTGAGGTGACCGTGCGTACAACGTTGGAGGGTCTCCAGGCATTCTTTGATTACTCGCATCCTGATCACCCGTACCAGCAACTTCGGCAGCTCTATCATCTTCACGCTTGTCTCTTCGACACTGTTGACTTCAAGCCAAGCGTCCCCATCTCCAAACGTGCTCCAATTGAGACCCGTCTCAAGATGATCTGGGCGAACCTTCGGGGTGACGGCGGGAAGCAAGGTGACCTCGGGTTCGCATTGTGGGAGCGTCTCCACTGGCTTCCGTTAGCTGGTATTGAACGAGGTCTCGCTGAAGAAGCTAGAAAGGTTGGCCACGACAAGGAACGCTTGAAGGAACTAAGAGCTGTGTTAAAGAAGCTCTTCAGTGAGCGCGACCGTCG